GTGAGGTTAGATTTACATCCACCCCTCAATGAATTTGTGAAAACTGATTTGTGAATTTAGATGAAACTTTTGTGTAATTAGGAAATCGGCAATAAAACCCATATATTTTATCCTCATTGAAAACAGAGAAAAACTTGTAGTGGTAAGACAAGTGTTCAAATACAGCTCTGGCTGTATCTTAACTGAAGAGGACAGGCCTCTAGTTCTGTAAGGTTCATTGATTCTGGGCATCTCTCGCCTGCTGCCGACTCGGAGGGAGTGTTGTTGTTGTTGTTGTTATGTGCCGTCGAGTCGGCCCCGACTCATAGCGACCCCTCCTTGGGTTTCCGAGGCAGTATCACTACGGAAGTAGGATTGCCCAACCTTCCTTCCGAGGAGTGGCTGGTGGGTTTGAACCACCAGCCTTCTGGTTAGCAGTCAAGTGCTTTTGCCACTATGCTACCAGAGCTCCTGGAGGGAGTGTTAGAGGAGGAAAAAACCATCCTCCCAGAACCCGTTCAGCACGGACAGACTCGAGAACATGAGGCCCTTGGAATGAGTGTGGCAGTGACAAGCTAATGAGATGTCAGCAAAGGGGGTTTTCTCCTCGGAGCTGACCACCAATTGCCACCCTCCACGGCCCTACACCAGGGGGTCTATTTTCTCTTTACCTTCTGTTGCCCTTTATCTCCCAGACAGCTGTCCTGGCATTGGGCCCCAGGAGCCATCTGCCTGGGTCATCTCTGCCAGCAGTACCTTATGGCCTTGGCGGACAGAAGCTGACCCTCCTGGCTGCAGCGCTAAGAGGAGTGATGCCCAGGTGTGAGCTATCCTATCTGCACACTGGCTGGTGTCTTGTCAGCAGGAGTCCAGGCAGGTGGCAGCAGCTGTCCTGCAAGGACACTGTATCTCCCCATGAGCTGAGACTTGATTCATGGAGCTCAGAGGGAGAACTCCTCACTAAGGAAGCTACAGCCTGGATAGTGGGGACCAGCTGGCTTTGCCATGCTGGATCAGTGTACCGACTCCTGGGCTAGGAAGGGGGCTCCTGGGAGGTGTTCTGACAATCACTGGCCTAATGAGATCTTTCTGCTGCCCCATTCAGTGCTCCAAGTGAGGGCTGCCATTGGTGGGCCTCATGCTTAACAGTGCAGGATGTGACCCTTCTCCCTAGAGCCACAATGGCCACCAGGTGTTGAGCTGACTTTCCAGGCACTGCTGAGAAGCAGCCTGCAGAGCTGAGAGAGCATTCTGGGGTCAGATTTCAGTTCTGCCACTGGCTCTGTAGCCTGAGGCTGGATATTTAATCTCTCTGAGCTTCCATTTCCTCAGCTGTGGCAATGGGTATAATGACATCACCTCACAGGTATTGTGAAGATTACAAAAACACCAGCAATGTGAACACACATATCTCTTCTTCCCAGTCTCAGCCCCGACTGGCCTCCCTTCCCCTTCTACAAGTCCACTCGCTGCCACACAGCCTCCTACAAGCTAGAGGCTTGAAGACAGGGCTCTCTCCAAGCTGTATTGAAAAATTTTTTTGACCCAACTGGCCAGTCTCTGGCCTGGTAGTGGGCAGATGGCTAGATTCCTGCTGAAGCAGAGGTATTTGCCTGGTGCTTCCTAGACACTTGGGTACCTGGGCCCCTCAGAGCCACTCTCTCTCAGCCCACTCCAGCTCAAAGCAGTTCTGCCTGGACCACTCAGTCCCTCAGTGGCTGGCAGCCTCCTGGGGTGGAAGCAGCTTGCTTCTCTGGTCAGGTTAGGTGAGGGCAGGCAAATCAGCCCTCTGTCCAGACAGCCAGAGTCTGGGGCCACAGGCAGTCCCAGGAGCCAAAGGCTTGGGCTTTTTCCATTTATTCCCATCAAGTCTCCGCGGCTTTGCTGCAGCCCTGAGTCCAGACTTTTCATTTGTGCTCAAGGGCAGATCAGATGATTGTCAACCATGAAGCAGTGACCTAGACCTTGGGGTATATTTGTTCTTGCTGCAGGCTAACTTCTATTCACTCTCCCTGCCAGTACAGGAGGGGGAAAATCATCATTACAAGGACAGATCCCTTCAAACCACTTGCACTTTGCTCCTCCAATTCCCCAGACTCTTTTGCTGGAATTTTTCTTTTTTCAGCTAAACTCTTATCTTACCTTCCCTTTCATCTCACATTGCTTGCTGCTGCTGCTTAAAGCTTTCCAACCTGTTTCACGTGTAGAAAAGAGTTGTATTTGCGAGGGTTACTGAGGGGTAAGCCAAGGGGCTGCTTCCGGCTCCCAGGTCCCACCAGGCCAGTCTGATGGCTGAGGGATCATGTATCACATCCTCAGGGTCCCTGCTTGGGAAAGTCTGCTTGGCGAATGACCTCTCAGGTATCACGAGGTGAGCCACACTTGGCTAAACCAGATGGCTTATCTACTCCTTCTCCTCCGGGGTGTCCTATTCCCTGCAGGGCTTGCACTGTGGTTATTAGAGATCTCCAGGGTGGGGAAGGTCTCCACGTGTCCTTCTGGCCGCTGGCTGGCCTCCCCAAGGTTCATTTTCCTCCCTGACCCTCTATGGTTGGGCTGTAGGAGGAACCTCGCCCATCTGATAAGCAGCAAAAGCTTTTTGCTCCAGGATGGAGCCAAGCTGGGCCTTGCCCTGTGCTCTGGTTACCTAGTGCCGCTCTGACAAGAAATATACCACAAATGGGATGGCCTTAATAAATAGGAGTTTATTCTTACAATTTGGAGGCTTTAAGTCCAAGTTCAAAGTGCCAGGCTCTAGGGACTGGGTGAAAGCCCCTCAACCTTGGGGTCCAACTCTGCCTCCTGCTCCCGGCCCACTGGATCTAGAGGCGTTTCTTCACTTACACAGCTGCTGGCTGCTGAGGCTGACAAGCCCCAAGGTTGACAAGTAAAAAGGCACAGTCCTGATGTTACCAAATCACATGGCAGCTCTGCCTCCTGCTCCCGGCCCACTGGATCTAGAGGCGTTTCTTCACTTACACAGCTGCTGGCTGCTGAGGCTGACAAGCCCCAAGGTTGACAAGTAAAAAGGCACAGTCCTGATGTTACCAAATCACATGGCAGGCCATTAACTTAAGTCCATTGTAAGTCCCAAGGTCAGCAGAGCATAGCAGCCTGCTGAGCAACGACACAGCTACATGCATAGTCCAAGGGTGCCATTCCCAAGGCTTCTCCTTATAAACAGGAAGCAGACCACATTCCCTAGGGCAGCTACTCAGCTGCTTGTGGTAAATCCCACCACGGAGTTGACTGTCAGTCTCATCATGGGGAATAACTACCACCAGCTGCCCAGCCACTCAACCAGGCCCAGCCAAGTTGACAAACAAATGTAACTACCACACCCTGCCTTGAAGGGCACAAGACCACAGTGCCCTCACGATGGTGCTATAAAGCCATCCTGAGCAGAGCTGGAGTATCTCAGGCAGCAACTGAGGCAGTGGCATGCTGTGCTCGCACTCTCGGCTGCTCTCCTCAGAGGAAGGGAGCTGAAATGGGTCATGGGGAAGGGGCGCAAACGTTAGTGTTAACAAGAAAGAAGGTACCTGAGGATCATGGGAACAAGGTCAGTCATGGAGCAAAGGAAAATACACCTGCAGCTCTGCGTGCCTGTGTACCACCACCCTGCCTACCCATCTCCAGACACCTGTTAGGCATTTCCACTGAGGGAATCCCAAGCGTCAAAACTAGTTCCTCCCTGCTGGGGGAAGCCTGGCCCTTTGGTCATTGTGGTCCTTTCCCATAGCTTAGTTCAATGTTATAAGCCAAATCACTGGAACAGGAACACCAGTCACCAAGCTCTCTAGCAACCACATCTCATGCCCTAAGCTTGCCTCAGTCCATCTGCTTATAACTCTTGTCTCCTTCAAGAACCATACCGCTTCAGCTTGAAGAAGGCTCCAAATGAGGGAATTCTCCCTTCTTAACTAGACATTTCATCTTCCTCAACTTTTCTTATTCCCCTGCTCAAAAATCTTCAAATATTTTCCATAACATACACTGGATCAAGTACCAATACTACAATCTATAACTATTTTGTCTCAGCCAGGCCAGCTCCACTTTCTCCAAGCAAAAACCCAAGTGTCAAAATCTTATTTGCCATTGTAGGTTTGCCTAGGGAGCTCTGGTAGCATAGTGGCTAAGGCACTTGACTACTAACCAGACGGGACGGGAGCTCTGGTAGCGTAGTGCCTAAGGCATCTGACTGCTAACCAGAAGGCTGGAGGTTCAAACCCACCAGCCCCTCCTCGGAAGGAAGGTTGGGCAATCTATTTCCGTAGTGATACTGCCCTGGAAACCCAAGGAGGGGTCGCTATGAGTCAGGTCTGACTCGACAGCACATAACAACAGGTTTGCCTAAATATAGAGCAAATCAGCATGATTCCAAGCTCTTGCCATATGACTAATATTTTATTAAAGACCAACAGCAATAGTTCCAGTGGTATGGCTGATTTGAATTTTGGCTCCATTATTTACTAGCTGTTACCTAACCCCTTGAAGGAGCTCTAGTGGCACATTGGTTAAAGCATTCAACTACTAACCAGAAGGTTGGTGCTTCAAACCCACCAGCCTCTCCAGGGAGAAAGATTAGCAGTTTCTACTCTGTCCTATAGGGTCACTGAGTCTTAATCGACTTGATGGCAGTGCGTTTGGCTTTTTTTCTTCTTTTTGATACTCCCTTATTACTACTCCACGTGTGGGAATAGCAGACCAAAGACATCTGGAGACTATTAAAATGCAGTAACTGAAGCTGCACCACAGACCCACAGAACCTGCACTTTAATATCACAGGTAATTCATATCATTTGAGAAGCACTGGACCTAACTGATCTGAGCTAGTGTCCTTCATTATAAAATGATTTTTATCACCACCATTCATCTTCTCAGGTATAAATAAAAAAAACAAAAGCCCCTTGGCACAGTACATGGCACACAGTAGGCACCTGGTCAGGTCCTCTACCAGGCTCAACTGGTCTTGAATAAGCAGGTCAAATATTTAGTATGACAGAGAAGCCAGTTTGCCATTTAAAAATGAAACATCACTTTTATTGACATTAAAGGGCCACAGGACAGTTTTACAGGACAACAGAAATAAGAGTCCCAAAACAACGGAGTGTACAATTGCAGCAGACAGATTAATACTCTTCACCCTCATCCTCTCCTTCAGCACTATCTGCTCCAACCTCCTCATAATCCTTCTCAAGGGCAGCCATGTCCTCACGGGCCTCAGAAAACTCTCCTTCCTCCATCCCCTCACCCACGTACCAGTGAACAAAGGCACGCTTGGCATACATCAGGTCAAACTTGTGGTCCAGGCGAGCCCAGGCCTCAGCAACAGCTGTGGTGTTGCTCAGCATGCACACAGCTCGCTGAACCTTGGCCAGGTCTCCACCAGGTACCACAGTAGGAGGCTGGTAATTAATGCCAACCTTAAAGCCAGTGGGACACCAATCCACAAACTGGATGGTACGCTTGGTCTTGATAGTGGCAATGGCAGCATTGACATCTTTGGGAACCACATCACCACGGTACAACAGGCAGCAAGCCATGTATTTACCATGGCGAGGGTCACATTTCACCATCTGGTTAGCTGGCTCAAAGCAAGCATTGGTAATCTCTGCTACAGAAAGCTGTTCATGGTAAGCTTTCTCAGCAGAGATGACAGGAGCATATGTGGCCAGAGGGAAGTGGATACGAGGATAGGGCACCAAGTTGGTCTGGAATTCTGTCAGATCGACATTCAGGGCACCATCAAATCTGAGGGAAGCAGTGATGGAGGACACAATCTGGCTAATAAGGCGATTAAGGTTGGTGTAGGTCGGGCGCTCAATATCAAGGTTTCTGCGACAGATGTCATAGATGGCCTCATTGTCTACCATGAAGGCACAATCTGAGTGCTCCAGGGTGGTGTGGGTGGTGAGGATGGAGTTGTAGGGCTCAACTACAGCTGTGGAAACCTGGGGGGCGGGGTAAATGGAGAACTCCAGCTTGGACTTCTTGCCATAATCTACAGAGAGGCGTTCCATCAGCAAAGAGGTAAACCCAGAACCGGTTCCTCCACCAAAGCTGTGGAAAACCAAGAAGCCCTGAAGACCTGTGCACTGGTCAGCCTGCAAAAGAAAAAATGCTTTAATTTTAGTGTTAAGAGACATCTGATGAAAGGTGCAACAACTTCTTTGAACCCATGTCTTTTTAAATCTTCTAAGATTTGGTATGAAAGTAGCATAAAGAACTTCTACATATTAAGTGATTCAGAGAAACTTTTCAGAGTCAAAACTTTTTTGGGGAAAAATTCTGCCAAAAGGGCTATTTTATCAGTTGGAGAGCTACCAAGGGCAGGCCCAGAACCACTAGCCTGGTACAATGGACGCCTCACAAAGATTTGGCAAATGCTTTCTGAGCTGGAGAACTAAGTTCCAATGCCTTGGCACTGGAGTCAGACTACATCTGGATCCAGCTCTCCCAGTTCCTACCGTGTGACCTTAGCCAAACCCCTGATTTCCATCTCAGTTTTCTATTTATTATATGAGGATGACAGTAATGTACCTAAGGTTACTGAGAATTAAATGAGGCCATGGAATAGTGCTTGACATAGTAAGTTCTTAGTATATGGCGCTACATACCCTCCTCACATATAGACATGGTTATGTTCCAAAGACCAGGTTGTTACAGGAAAATTATCCAAAAATGGAGGATGATGACATCATTCCATAAATGCCAAATCACAAAACTCTCAAACCATTGAGACTCACAGCCCAGCCACATTGACACCTAGCTACACAGCATTACTCCAGATCATATCTTGGCATCTGTTACCATCAGACACACACACTGTTATTGTGCAAAATCGTTGGAATGTTTTTTTTTTTTTTTTTTTACTATTGTTGTAAATGTGAAACATTGAAAAACGAGATTGTCGATAAGTGAGTAGGTATGGTTATAGTTATCTGGAAAATTACTCATTCTGGGAAAGGTAATTTACTACCATAATTCTATGAGAACTCATATTGCTACAGCTTTCCACCACTTAAATTGGCAATTCCACCTGCCAATCTACTACTTTAAGAATGATCTTGACCTTCAAGACAAGGTATTTTGTTGACAGCACCTACTTCTCAAAAGGTACCCAGAGATTCAAGCACATTTTCTATTGATGGCTCACCTCCCATATTTTGTGGGTCCACACTCTGAAATAACAGCTTGAGATCAATGTACAAGGCAACCCTAGCTTACTCATTACATCTATTAGCTTCTTATAGACACTGCAATAATGCCAAGGACAAACAAATGTTTTTGGTAGTTAATGACCTTCACTCCAGAACCCCCAAAGGCTTTCACTAGGTTTATTCGTCCTAAAGGCAGGTCCTGATTTCCAAGTCAGTGCTTGTAGCTGCACTTTGATTTGCAAACATAGGAACCATTAATCCAGTTTTGCTGGGAAGACGATAAACATCTGAAAAAAGCATGAACCAGGAATGATGCAATATCATTCTTTTTAGAACAGACCAGTTGTGGCCAGTCTTAGTATAATGTGATTTTGATGAAGAGTGACTCTACTCAGGCATTCGAATGCCTGAGTAATCACTTACAAGCTACCCACACACCTAAGAAGAGCAAAGGGTCACCTGATTGCTGGGCTCTTAATTAAATTAAAATGGTCCAAACAGAACACTTCCAACTTGACTAAAATGAGTAAAGTTGCCAGAGACTTTCCTGCTGCAGGGTCAGGCCACACTGCCCTTGAGCTCTGGTAAAAAAGCAAGGGCACTGTTCATTTTTCTTGTGATTATACCTCAGTATCTTCAGAGTTGCAATACTTGCTCTACTTTCTTGAGCGTTTCCAGTCAGTGTTACTGACTTCTGCTCTGAACTTTCTGTACTAACATAAGGCAAGAGCCTGGATTTTTCTAAAAAATGAATTCTATCAATTAGTTACATGTAGCAACCAGCTACCTACTTACTCAGTGTGACTAAGATGACCTAAAAAGGGATGCCTCAGCTTGAAGCAAGAAAGCTGCCTCGTTAACACGAACAAGGACGTGTAATGGCCTTAAATGTCATAGGCTATGCAGTCTCTCTGGTTCTCACCTTGATGACAGGGAACCTGCCCTCACTGAGTGAGTACCATGGCCCAAATCTGCTTTGAAAGACACACAGGAACAGGCAAAACAACACTTACCCTGGGCCAAGTCATTGTCTCATAACCAAGGACCATGTGGTTTAGAAGTCCAGTTATTAGTGATCATTCTAAGTCTCACTTTAGTATGCAAAGAATGATTCCTAGTTTGGTCTCTCTTAAAAATTGTAAGTGAAATCTCTCCTTCCCCATTAAATAAGATATTGTATTTACCAGCTTGCGAATTCTGTCCAAGACAAGGTCAATGATCTCCTTGCCAATGGTATAGTGCCCCCGGGCATAGTTGTTGGCAGCATCTTCCTTGCCTGTGATGAGCTGCTCAGGGTGGAAGAGTTGGCGGTAGGTGCCAGTCCGAACTTCATCTGCAAAAGGAAAACAAAATAGCCACCCATCACTAACAACCTGCACAAGCCTGTTTATCCCTAGAAGGGACCACTGGGGGCCTCCAGGATTTCACTTGGGCTACTGAGTTCAACTCACCAATGACTGTGGGTTCCAGGTCTACAAACACTGCCCTGGGAACATGCTTGCCAGCGCCCGTCTCACTGAAGAAGGTATTGAAGGAGTCATCTGCTACCCCAATGGTCTTGTCACTTGGCATTTGGCCATCAGGCTGGATGCCATGTTCCAAACAGTAAAGCTCCCAGCAGGCATTGCCAATCTGGACACCAGCCTGGCCGACATGGATAGAGATGCACTCACGCTGTGGGAAGACAGGAAGTCAGAATATGACATATCAGTTGGGACACTTAGGAATGATTCACAACTAAGTAACCACTTAATCTTCAGGATAAATGACCACCTTTCTGGAGGCCACTATTACCCAGGGACTATTTCACAAGCACCAATCTTTGAAGACCTAGTTCTGGGAAAATGCTTTGGAACACCAAAGATAATTAGCTACTAGGTGTGATGCCACCAACACTGTTGCTAAAGAGCCAAGGTAGGCAAACCCCACGTTTATCCCTAACTGTGAGGGAAGGATCAGCATAAATCTGATTCCCAGCTAGGAATGGATCCAGGGCTCTCCTTCTCACATCTCGTACCTGGTTGTCAATCAGTTCTGTGGTATTTCCTCTCTCTCTGACCCTAACCACTCAGTTTGTTCAGACCTCATGCCTGGCTATTCTGAGCCAGGTGATCATGGGCCAGCCCCACTACAATAACTCTCCTTCATCGATTGCCCATGTAGCCTTTCCTTATCATTCAGCCAGTCAGAGCTTGGTCTACACAAATCCACTGTGCACTGCCAGCCCTGAAGGTTTGTTAATTCTCTGGAATGGCTCAAGAAATTCATAGAAACTGTTACTATACCCATTTACTATATCCAGAAAGGATATATGTGAAGAAACGCATCAGGCAAGGGTCTTGGGAGAGATCCCAGAAGGAGGCTTCTATTGTTACCAGGGACTTGGCAAATCCTATCCAGTGCATGGATGTTCTCACCAATATATGAGGCCTCAATAAATATGCATGATGGGAGCCTTAATGAATAGTCATGATCAATCCAATCGATAAATATGCATGACTGCATCATGCCCCCAGGTATGGGGCCAGTGTAGCCCTTATGGTAGTTGCTATTTTAAAAAGACAAAGAACACCTTAATTACTCAAGCTACTTTCAGAAAATCAGATACAAAAAGCCAAATCCACTTCTTGGTTCCACCCTAGGCAAGGCCAACACCCTTTCTTAGTAGTCATATTAGATATTCAAGGTCAGGCTTCCACCATTTCAGAATGACACAAACTGCTCTATAGTGATACATTTTCTCTAGCTCTTGGGAAATATGCCTGCTGATTCCTTAAACACATGAAAATTCCCCTTGCAGCTCTGATTCATTCTCTGTGTGATTGTGTAAGTAGTGGGCTCACTCTGGTCCCTCTTTAATCCTATTCTTTTTTAAAAGACAAGAGCTTCTCCCTCTTTCCTCTGAAATCAGCTTAAACCAGCAAACTACAGCCACATGACTCAGGGAGAAAGTGCTAGATAAGCAGCAGTTAAATTTTGAAAGTTGTGGTCAGATGCAGCCTGCGGAAGAATTTAATCTTTAGGAAGAACATTTTTCCTTCATCATCAACAAATCATTGACACATGTTAATGAAGTGTCATCAAGACTAGTGACATTAAGAAATCAGCTACTCCCTAGCAAAACGTAAGAAAAAAGGCACTGTGAAGAAAAGCTTATGGTTTCAAGATTCTGAAGATATTAGAGAAATGTTTATTTTCCTTTTACTTGCTAAGAATGGTCATTTGGAAGTTACCAAAATCATTCCTACTTAGCAAAAATAATGAGCACAGAATCTGTATCAAAAGACTTCACAGAAAAACAAAAAAGAATGTTTATATTTCATCAACCAGATTAGCTACTTTTTAGACTGGCAGAGGACTTTCAAATTATTCACACCAAAAATCTCCCATTACATTTTCCCCTGAATAATAGAGGTTTCAAGTTTTTAAAAGCTGTGAGAAACGAAAGAAAACTCAACACCAGCTAAGTTGTCAAAGGGCCTAGTTTCATAACCCAAGATAATACAACCCCTGAAACACTCACCTTTGACTTATGATCTCACTCCTTCCCACCTACACTCTTCATAAAACAACCATGGTCTCCACGTCAGCAATTACAAGCTCAGTATTACCTGTGCCTACTCATCCAGCTCTAGGGCTGTGGGAGAATGAGCTATTTGTTACAATGAGCCCATGATTCTTTACCATTGCATCATATTTACCTTTAACTGGACTTTGGAAATTCCAGCCACAGAAAGCTGAAAATAACCAGAGCTCCACCCACAAGGGGCCTCAGGCCCGCAGAATAAAAGTACCTGAGCAGATCCTCTCATCCTAAAGAAGCTGTTCTTCGGCTGAAACCTTGAGTCCAAAACTTTCTTTCATTGCTCACCAGTCTAAGCTACTTTCTAGAAGCTTAGCAGATAAAGTCAGTGGCCACCGTTTGCCCCCATTTCCCCTAGGCACTTGGAAGAAACAGGACACAGGGATGGATCCATTTTAGTATAGTTTTAAGTGGGTAAGCAGCCACTGACTACATAGGTCTGCGGCTGCTGTTCTTCTGCCCTTCAGTACAATACCCACTGCTTTCTCAATCATGCTTTTACTAGTTATCTTTTTTTGTCTTGCTTGTTGAAAGGTACTAAGGCAAGTCGTTACAGTAGTCAGCCTGTGCCTGGATATGAGGATGGCCGTTTTCAATACTTTTGGAAGCTATATAGAAAACACCAGTGGTGTACAACTTCCTATGTCTTGAAAAGCAAAATAAAAATACATTATCAGTACCAGTTTATTCTGGGCTTTCATAAGAACACCTTTTATGGATTCGTTTTAAAAACCTCCCTTAAGTAGAAAGTTTTAGCTACAAACACTGCCCCGCCCCCCACAAATTAAAAACCAGAAATGTAGGATTAGACATGTGATAGTTAATTATTCCCTTCAAAGGAGGGGCCCACCTCCCTCTTTCAGGTGGAAGGGTGTAATTGATAGCTCTGCCGCGAACCGGCCACAGGTGACTCAGCGGCGAGTCACGGGGCGCTGGAGAGGTGGCGCTGGGGAGTGTTCGCACCTTCAGTGCGGGAAGTGCTGGAGACAACCTGCCCATTCACTTTCCGGTATCCCGGTGTTTACGGCAGTGGGAAGGTGAGGTCATTTGAGGAAGCTGGGCGGGGGTCGATTTTTTAGTTTCTTCAGATCCTAGGGGGGCCAAACGTAAAGGCTTCCCGTCCTTTTTTGGACGGTGGCGGGCCTTGGGATCAAGGGGGCTTTCCACTTCCACCGAGGACAGAGTCTGGATCGCGCCTTCGAGCCGGAAACACTGGAGGATAAATAGGACATCTCCGCACCCCCAGTCCCGCCACCAGACGCGCGTTTGGCCACAGGCGCCGGGTGCAGTCCGGGCGCGGTCCCACGTGCAGCCGGGGGCTCTACTGATCCCGCCGCCCTTGGGACCGCGAGGTCCGTCCCCACCACGCGCCCGGGGCGACGTTCGGACCAGCGCATTCCTGGAGTCCCCACTCACCATGATGGGACTTGTAAGGGCTCCGCGGGGATAGAGAAGACGAGAGGACGGCGACAGGAACCTCCCGCTAACAGACTACCTAGGAGTCCGGGGGAGAAGTAGTGAGAGAGCGCGGCCCCGCGGGGCCCTATATACCCTCTCCAGGCCACGTGTAGGGAGGGCGGGCACAGGACCGCGGGCCGGGTGGGGAGGGTGCGCGGCGCTGATTGGTGGGTTCAAAAGTTCAAACCAAACTACTCTTTTGGAAGGAGTCAGAGGATCTAGGAAGGGGCGTGGAGAAAGGAAGAGGATGGAGTCGGCTTGTGGAAGGAAGAGGAAGGGGCGTCTACACTGTCCTCAGTGGGTGCATGGAACGTCAGATGGGCAAAGCCAAAAAGTTGTAGAGCGTCAGGTAAACCCTGCGGCGGCTGGAGCCCTGGAGGGAAGCCCCTTCCACCGCCCGGCCAGTCCCAGCTGGCCCCAGACCCTCAGAGGGGCGGTCTGCGTAGCTTCCAGCCAGTCACCTCCGTACAACTCCCTAAAAGGCCTGGCCTGCGCGTCACCCGCCCTCACTGCACGGCCTCAGAGCCGCACCCTCCCGCCATGGAGCGGCCGGTTCCTTTTCCGCGAGTCTGGCGCCTCCCGGCACCCCTAGCAGGGACTGAGGGCCTTGGCCTCCCACCCCCGCAACTGAGAGATTTCCAGTAGAGAGAGCCTTGTTCCCTATTCTAGGTCTTAATTACTCACGAAGGAGTTTTGAATCTCTTATTTCAACCTTGTTGGTTGCTTTTCTTTATTCGTTTTCCAGTCTCTTTGAATGAACGCAGTTCCTGATAATTCGTTCACATCTCCTCCCGCTAGGTGCAAACCCAGTTTTCCCCGCCCCCCAGTGCATTATAATAACAGCTCACGTTTATTTATTGTTTACTATTCAGTGTAGTGAGGTCTGGTGGCGTAGTACCTAAGGCATTTAACTGCTAACCAGAAGGCTGGTGGTTCAAACCCACCAGCCACTCTTGGGAAGGCAGATTGGGCGATCTACTTCCGTAGAGATAACCGCCTCGGAAACCGAAGGAGAGGTCGCCATGAGTCCTGAACGACTCGGTGGCAGTGAGTTTTTTTTTTTTTTTTTTTCTTTCTGTATGCAGGGTAGTTGGCTTTTTAACACGACATTATCGCGTATCATCATACCACATACCCTGTTGAGTTATCTTCATTTTACAGACGAGGGAAATGCAGTGACCATCCTACCAAAGGTTTATTTCTCAGAAGTTTCCTTTATTTCAGTTGTTTTTCTTTCTCTTCAACTTCATTATGTTATCTTAGCTCTTAATCAAATTGCTTAACCATCTCTAGACAATAGTTTATGGAAGTGTTCAGAGTACAAAACTAACTGTTAAACATAACAGAAGTTACAAGCGTTTTTTCTCTTAGCAGGAAAAGGCAAAATGAAAGCAAAACTGGGTTTTGGATACAGAATAGGCAGAATTCAAGATCAACTCCAGTCCATACACACAAAATGGATTCTGTGGAAATATGTGCCGAGATTCTTTTTCAATTAGAAATGCTCATTGAGCATCTATTGTATGCCAGGATATTCTGGAATAACTTACTGTTTTCATCTGTTAGTAGAGCTTTTCAATTTTTATTATTTATAGCTACCCTTCCTTGGGTTTCTGAGGCGGTATCTCTATGG